CAGGCTGAGTCATTTCTACCTTCTCCTCTCTGTCAACGCTCTCTGGTTTCATTTAAAAGAGTCMATCATCAGATATTGTCCAAGATTAACCTTCAGGGTGGATATAGCTCGCTAGCAGCCTCCCACCAATGACCTATCCACGTCATTATTTACCCAGAATGCTTTGCATGTAAATAAAATGGCCCTGTCCATGTAATATATTTTTAAACTTTGGGTTTAAAAATTATATAAATTGAACATCCTACAGTATTTTTACAGTTTTTATTTTTTAGTTAAAATATATGTTTATCAAATAAAGTCTAATGTTACAACTAATCAGGGGATCCCTTTAATAAGTTGTTTCAGTCCACACTCCTTTCCAGTTGGTGGCGGTAATGAACACCTAAATGGTTTTGCAAACTGCCAATAAACCCTATATAGAAGAAGAAGAAGAAGAAGAATTTTTTTAAAGTCTGGTCATTAAGAATGGTATTTTTAGGAAAGATTTAAAATAATTGGACCACATGTTGAACTGGGTCAGTGTTGTCGTTTTGTAATCTTGAGGCTGCTGGTTGAAATCCAAGAAGGGCACCCACGTTTTGTGCAAGTTTGCTTGCTGTGACAACTCCTGCTGAAGGAAGGAAGTCAGGAAGGAAAGGAAGCGAAGGACACGTTAAACTAAGGTGTGTCCTATAATCAAGCATCACAGCTGTCTTCAGTCTAATCAGTCAGTCTGACTGTTTACATGAGGAAAAGTTGTCCCTGTGCTGTTTGGTATCATGGTGTGCACCACACTGAACATGGACCACAGGAAGGAAAGGACAGAGTCTCAGGAGCTTAGAAAAAACTTCAAAAATCAGTGATCATTCCTGATTTCACGCCACTACCCATAATTCATAGCGGAAACGGGTTCCATATTTCCTCTTGGCTGTTGTTTACAATTACAAGGATACACCATCGCTGTTTATCAAAGCATTTTTCATTGAKGCTTGGTGTAGATGGCCACATATCGGAGGTGTATTTACRGTAAGGATGTTTGAAAAAGCAGCGAGGACAATTCATCAGTGGCTCAGCCGTCACTGCTCTCAGACTGACGTTAGCTAATAGCTGCTACTGACATCAACTACCTTGTCTTTCCCCGAAGACACACACARGCAAAACCATAAATGTCAACAGTTCTGGAAGTAAAATGTTCATAAGCCCCTCAGAATTGTAAAATTTTTTAAAAAGTATTGTGTGTGGGGGGAGGGGGTGTTTTTGGTGACATTTGGGGACAAAAGTCGAGTCCCCGTTTGGTTTAAATGCCATTGGTGGGTTGGGGGTTGGGTTTAGGACCAAGGAGTGAATTGAGTTTAGGTTAGTTTTAGGGTCAGGGAGGTACCTGTGAGGTTAGCCTTAGGGTTTGTGGTCAGGGTTAGGCTGTAGAAATGTAATGGTAATCAATGGAATGTCCCCAAATGTATAGCTGGGCGAACCTCTGTGTAAGTGTATGTGTGTGTGTGTGTGTGTGGGGGGATGGGTTCCTACTACGTGTGGACAATTTTCCTTAAAAAAAAGCAGCCAGGTGGGGACCGAAGTGAATCGTGGAGACCATTGTCAGGTCCCCACGGGTCCAAATGCATGTTACAGGTGTGGGGTTAGGTTTAGGACCAAGGTGTGAATTGAGTTTAGGTTAGTTTTAGGGTCAGGGAGGTACCTGTGAGGTTAGCCTTAGGGTTTGTGGTCAGGGTTAGGCTGTAGAAATGTAATGGTAATCAATGGAATGTCCCCAAATGTATAGCTGGGCGAAGCTCCTACTACGTGTGGACAATTTTCCTTAAAAAAAAGCAGCCAGGTGGGGACCGAAGTGAATCGTGG